ACAGAGGTGGGCAGCAATGGCAGGGGCGTGGTTGGATCAGGCAGGCAGGGAGCCACAGGACAGACTGTCCCTGGAACAGCTTTTTTGGAGGTTTTAGTGCCAGATGGTGCACGCACTCATCAGAAGGAGGCTCTGAGGGGGAGGGAGAAGGCACCCCGGTGGGATGTGGTCACGCCGCAATCCCTTCTCCTCCACCTCTCCATCCTGTGGGACCTGGTGTTTGCACACACGTACCCAGTGTGCTTTTCAAGCCTCCAGAGTGGCGGGGTTCGAACCATGGTTGCCCATATGGGATCCGTCTCTCTCTACCACCAGGCCATGTGGCTGGCCCTGGACCGTCTGCTTTTTACAAAGATTTATGGAAGGAAGGGTTTTCATACTTAAGGAAAATGGTGAAGTAGGATGCACAGAATTTCAGGGGCCTCGTTAAGATGAAGTAGGCGACGTCAAAGGAAGCTCTTGGACACGTGCTTACAGCCAAGGCTGGCGTCACGGAGCCCAGAGGAGGCGTGCAGTTCTCAGCCGTCAGGGTGTATGATGGGGAAGTGCCCCTTGGCTGAGTATGGGAGGCTGGGGGACCTTGGCGCCCATGTGTAGAGGCGGGCCAACCGTGAACTTGTAGTGTTCCAGCAAGTCCCACCAGGTGGCGCTGCTGCCTCAGCCCAGCAGCCCAGCAAAGCCCAGCAGTTCATGGTTATTCCAGGCGCCTGACCAGCAGGACTGTGGGCCCCTTGCTCTGGGGGAGATGCAGATTCAGGACTCCGGGGTGGGGACCAGGAATCTGCATTTTCTGCACTCTCTGAGGTTATTTCTAAATCATGGTATTTTAGATCCTTAGGCCAAAGACTGGATCCCCAAAGAAAGATGGGGGGGGGGAGGGCAGGCCAGATAACCTTGTTCTTAGGAAGGGGGAGTTACATCGTAAGGATGGTCTAATCCTTTTAAGTTTATGTGTTTATTTCCATGATAGAAAGAGAGACAGAGACAAGCACCTCAGCGGGGCCTTCACATCCCTCCCCGCACGCCCCCCTGCCCGGGTCTCAGCTGGCCGGGATCACGGACACACGTATGTACCCCCGGCCGCCACTTCACAGACAGGCCCAGAGCCCCTTCCATCGGGTCCCATTGGTGACCGCTGTGCTGCCACCTGGCCTGGGAATGCTCTGACGCTCTGAACCCGACCAACCTCTTGCTGGAGGCCTTCGGTGGCTGAGCCTGAGGGAGGTGGAGGCCCAGCATGGCGGCCAGAGGCTGCAGCTCCGTGGGGCTGCTCCCCACCGCAACCGGGGACTCCCCCACAGCTGCTCATCCCCACGCTCCAGGGCCGGGGGCTCCAAGGGAAGCTGTTCCAGTTTATTTTATTTATAACCTGCCTCATTCCACAGAGGAAGTAAATGTAATAAAATAGAAAACATAACAGGGAAAATATAAATTTATGAGGAAGTGTAGGTTTGAGTGAGATAAACACAGCTCCCCACCGCAACCGGGGACTCCCCCACAGCTGCTCATCCCCACGCTCCAGGGCCGGGGGCTCCAAGGGAAGCTGTTCCAGTTTATTTTATTTATAACCTGCCTCATTCCACAGAGGAAGTAAATGTAATAAAATAGAAAACATAACAGGGAAAATATAAATTTATGAGGAAGTGTAGGTTTGAGTGAGATAAACACAGCTGAGTTGCCCATAAGGTTACTTTCCCAGCGATGGCAAACGGAGGCTCTGTGTGTGGTGCGCTCTCACGGCCACGCTCCCAGCAGACACCGCTAGCTGATCACAGACGCATTTCCTTACCCAGACGCATCTGGGCCATGCTTCCAGCTGACATCGCTCATTGCCGCTCAGACTCCTCAGCTCAGACTATCGATCAATCTGGAATGCAAAATGGAAGCAGTTGCTATCCTCCAGAGGTCTCGTCGTTGTTGAATCATACATAATTTTGTCTGTGAGCTCCCTGGTGGCCAAAGCAAAAAGGGACAAATTTTGTCGCTTAGAGAGCTCTCATTTCCCAGGGTATCCTCATGCTTAGCTACTAGGGAGGATGTGACTGGCTGGAAACTGGAATTCAAGACCACCCTCAAACACACCTTGATTGTCCTTCATGACAGGAGCAAGAGAAGGCATTGGGCCACACAGCCTAAATGAGCCCCTGGCTGCTCGTCCTTGTGTGGACCAGAGAGGAGCCAGGAAGGCCTGTGAGTGCACGCGAGGCAGGGAAATGGTGTCTCTCCACGGCAGCTGGTACTCATATGGCCTATCTCTGTACCGGGCCTGGCCCCACTAGTTTTCGTACTGCACTCCTGTGCGGGTCTGTTCACTTTTCAGATAAGGGAGCGAATCGCAGGAGGGTACATGGTCTCAACATTCTGCTGCTAGGAGGAGGCGCTGTTGTCCCCCGCAGCCACCTGGTGGCAGGGCCTGTACTGCCAAACCTGTGCCACCCGCCCCCTGCCGCGGGGAGAGTGTGGGAGCACCGTGGGGTCCGTCCCGGTTGCCATCGTCCACTCTGCACACGGAGCCCACGCTGCCCCTAGCCCTGATGGGCTTGCGGAAGGGGAGGACGCAGACGGCAGGGCCAGGAGGCTACAATGGAGGCAGTCAGAGCTTGTCCCCGACTGCGGACTGGGGACCCTGGTCTGGTCAGGACGCTCCGTGAGTCTGCTGGGTGGGAGGGGTCCGACCCCATCCGCAGTCCCTCTCCCTGCCCATAGGAGGGGCTCAGGTTACCTCTCACCCTCTGGAACCTCACCTTCCTCCTGTGAACACGGCAGGTTATGGGGTCGAATGGGGCTCACTCTGTGTCTCGGGTGTGTGGAGCCCTTGCAAAGTGCCTGGAATCCCGGAAGCCCGAATCAGCATGTAGCTGTTACCTCCGGCTCGGCTCACTCCCTGGGGCTCCACGCTGAGCAGACACGTTCAGCCTCTGTCCGAGGCCCCGGCAGTGGAGGTGTGGGGGGTGCAGAGATGCCACCCTAGGTCAGCGGGGCCTGGGGAGCACAGGGCCTGTGGGGCAACAGGAGAGGCCAGGCTGCCGGATGG